TTAACCCCTACGCCTAGCATTATAGTTGAGTCAGAAATACTGATGAGTCGAGAACTCTAAGAAATAGTGACACTCGACGGTTGATTTGCAACCATAAGCGATTCATGTAGAAGTGGGCACACGATGAGAAACGCTATTTTAGAATCTGGAGATAGATAGAAAAAAGGTGAAACATACCCGTGCTTCTGAAATGCCTGGTAAATTTGGCTGCAATGAGTTAAGGCAAGTCTGAGCCAGCGACGAAGTACTCACTCGCGGTGTGTTCAACGATCCGGACCAGGTTGTGAGACCTCGTGGTCCCGACCAGCTAGTCGGGGATCGCACGGGTTGAGAAAGCTGGAAAGCAGCGGCATGTGCAATACCCGAAGGCTCGATAGATAGATCTCGAGCTACCGACGGCGAAGAGGGAGTGACAGGGAATGATGGAGGCCAAAACTGTGGTGTAAAATAATGAAGTTAATTAGATTGTTAGAAGTGCATACATAACAGTGCGGACAGATATGAAATTAAAAAACATTGGTCCTCCTACTTTTGATACATAAACTTCGCAAAAAAGTGCTTAATTTTACGGATAAGCCTATAAATATCAAATAAATGATCGGCCACCGCACATCTCATGAGAATATTTCATAAATGAAGGCCAGATTTTACTCATAGCTTTTCTTCTAGTTCGAGGATTCTCTAAACAGGTAAGATAGGGCTGTAAATTTTTTATAATGATTTGCCTTAATGGCAAAAAATAAAAGGACGGTCAAATTTGTGAAAGTTAAACTATAAAGTTTCGTTTCGTTAAAAGGGGCTTCGGATGACGACAAATGAGAAGTGGGATGGGCATAGTGGGTTATTGACGGGTAGCGAGCACAGATATACTCTGTTACAAAATATGAGATTTCCTCCATAAAAGCCTAAATTTTCAAAGTTAATTCAACTAGAACTGCAAATAATTCATGAAAATCAAGACCGAATGGCAATAATATTCTACTAGCAAGTCTTTCATATAACGACAAATACGAATTGTCTTTACCTAAAGCTTACAACACTAGACATTTGAATTGGGATACATGCTTTTACTTCAAAATGAGTTAACGAGCTGGTCGGACATCACCAAGCGAGAGTTATGGCACTTGAAGAGTACTACCTAGTCTAAAATTGCAGGCAACTTCAAATGTATTTCCCATTATGTTAGTGCCTAAACTAACAAAAAATCAGAGAATTTTAACGGGATTCATCGTGAAATGAGTCCTGTGGTGTTTCCAACACGAACATTGGAAGAAATGAAAAATGTAATAAATATAAATTGAATCATAAAATTATATAGGCAATAAATGGGTTGCCCTATTTTATGTTGAAGAGTTTTGAAGAACGATGCCGTGTTGAACAATTCTATACAAGCATCTAAATATAAAAAAGAAGGGTCATGATATATCTCCACATGGATATTATAGAAGCATAAATGCTGCTTTGTGAAGTAAGGCGGATTTATATTCATATAAGTTTAGCTAAGCATGCTAAATAATCTACGAATATTCTGATCACCCTACTTGTGGATAAGGAGGAATATCTTTGATCGCTAGCCTCTTATGTATTTAAAAGTAATAATCAAGAATATGATTTTTAAAACATAGGTCTTTTAGAGAACCCGAAACATCACTTTAGTGCCTTGCAGCTTGACAAAGATACCTCTGAAGAAACATCACTTTAGTGCCTTGCAGCTTGATAAAGATACCTCTGAAAAGCTTGTGAATGGATAAGTAAGCTAAGTACAAAGGCTGCATGTTTTCCCAAAAAACTTAAACAGCACAAAACGGAAAAGTATACAGGAAACTAAGAGGTCACCTGAGAACAAGGAGGAGGGGCCAGGATTATCTTTCCTGGGAGGAGCGGAGATGCAGGCAGAGGACTTTTTGAAATGATGGCGGCATCAGATGTGCACATAAGTTGATTAGTTCTATTGGAAGCTTGCCATGACAATTGATCCTCCAGTGGCTCGTTTACAGACGAATGAAGTCGAGAAGTCGCTACTTGAGAAGCCACTGGCGGCGGTAGGTGGACGCAGATGTCAGGACTAGATGAAAATGCAAAAGGAGCTTTCAAAGCACTACCTGCCGAAGGCGGCGATGCGAGTTGGTAAGTGGAAAAATTGGAAGGGGTAATAAAGTCTTGGAATCCAGCAGTGCCTGCAAATGTGGAAGGAATAGTTGAAGTAATAGTTCCAACAGCGCTAATAGAACAGGTAACAGGAACGAAATCACTTTGACGATTGGATACAGACTTAAGTGCGGCAGACACCGCGGCATTTGCCGCATGGAAAGCAGTTGCCATGACCGGATCAAGCCGAAGAAGGTCTGATAGCAGATGAGGCAGAACGGCTCCGGTTGCAGGATCAAAAGAGGCATCTGGAGGCAATTGGCCCGGTGCTAACAAGCGATAAAGAAAAAAAAATTGCTGATGAAAAAGGATGTTATATTGAGTAGAAACATAAATGAGAAAAAACGAAACATGTCTTGGTTTAGGGAAGTAAGAAAAAGAAAAGTCTATATTCCAGAATTCACACTTTGATACATGTTTCCTATTGTATAAATGTTTGTTGATATGATAAGATCATTAATAAATCAAAGTTAAATCTCAATGGAAGATTATTTATATCTACATGAAATTACATTAAGAAGGGATAAGATCTCGAACTGACCTGACGAGGAAGGTGAAGATAAAATTTCTATCAAACTCACCGTCAGAGCTTTGGGATATAAAGGGTCGGGGCTCCATGTTATCTCGTAAACCTGTTTCGATCGACTGTGGCATAGCATCATGATTCTGTTCTCCCAGGTAGGGTCCTTGTTCTGGCTGAGAAAACTGAGTAGGTTCTCGCTGCTGTTGCTGAGCCCAGATCGACATAAATATACTGACCATCTGGGCCATATTTGCCGCAAGGTCAGAGGACCAATCACTAGTTACTGCGC